AAAAAAAATTTAAATTGTATATTTTAATAGTTAAACTAGTAAGTGTATGTAAATATATTTAATTAAAAGATATATCAATAATTTTATTATATTTTAATATTTAATAGTTAATTTTTTTATTTTATTAAGTTTAGTGATGTTATAGGTATTCATTTATTTAATGATAATCAAAAGATATAAATAATTTTTTTTTATTTGGTTGCTAGAATGATTTTATGTTGAGGATTTATGACAATTAGGCTTATCACAGTTTATAATATATTTCACTTTTAATTTTAATTTTGATTATAAAAAATATTTTAATATAAAATAATAAAAGTTGTTTGTCTGTAGGAGAGTTCCCCTAGCAATCAAGTGGATGCTTAAAAAAAAAAAAACTCAGTCCAATTCAAAAAGATGAAGGCCCGGTTCCGGGCCACATAGTTATTTGGGCTCTTTTGGACCCAGTGAATGGACATATGGAGAGTTCCACGGAAATAAAACATCAGAGATTTTCCAATTGAACAATGCGCCGAAGTTTATGATTTTCCGGTGTATGATTCTGGAAAAAGATTATTCTCCGGCGACCCAACATCGTCCTCATCCAATGTTCCAATGAGATGAAGTTCCTCCGAGGAAGTCTCAGGAATGGTGATTTAAAGTATGTTCTGTCTAGGCTTCAGAGACGCCAAGCTCACACCCGCCACTTGTTCGGCGAGGTGTCCCAACGAGAGATCAACTCTTATAACAATCAACTGGCCTCATTGCATCGCTGTGGTGATGATTTAGCAACATGGGCTCTCTTCTCTGAAATGCATTTTGCAGGCCTTGACCTTAATGCCTACACTTTCACCCGAATTTTGAGTGCATGCTCTGGGTTGCCTGGCAAAGAACGTGGCAAACAGGTGCATAGTCTGATGGTTAAAACAGGCTCGGATACGGGAACCGTGGCTAAGACTGCCTTGCTTAACATGTACTCTAAGAATAGCTGCTTCGATGACTCCGTTAGGGTGTTTGCAGAAGTTGAATTCAGGGATGTGGTGATATGGAATGCCTTGCTCTCGGGCTTTTTGAGGCAGGGTCTTGCTCAGGAAGCGTTCAGTGTCTTTGCAGAGATG